AGATGGCCACTTGTTTACGTTGAAGCCTTTAAGACCCCAGACATGATATCTTTTGATAGCCAGGCACCATCAGCTTTCTTCACCTTTTACTTTTAACTTATTTATGTCTTTGTGTCTAGGGTGTGTCTCTTGTAAACAACATATTGATGGAGGTCATTTAAAAAATCTATTCTGTCACTCTGTCTCCTGCCTGGTGCAATGAGATCATTCACGTTGTCAATACATCGGATTCATGCTGTTATTTTGTTGTGTGTGTGTTGTTACCAGTTTCTTTGTTCTCCTTAACTTTGATAAGTTCTATTATATATAGATTATCTCATATTCCTGTCTGTTGAGGTAGAAATGGAAATATAATGGAATTTTTCCATGAACTGTAGGAGCCCTGGTGGTATATTGGTTATGCATTGGGCTACTAATTGCAAGATCAGTTCGAAACCACCAGTCGATCCTCAGGAGAAAGACGAGGCTTTCCACCCCCATTAAGTTAGTCTCAGAAACTCACAGGAGCAGTCTACCCTGCCTCTACGGTTCCAATCAGTCAGCATCAACTCGATGGCAATGAATTTGATTTTGATTTTTTATCAATTGTTGCTTTTGTGTTTACTGAGTCTCTTTTGGCTTTCTACTTCTTTACATTAGTGAGTCGGTTTATTAATTTTCTGTGGTTACCCTGAAGTTCACACTCATCCTCTTAAATCAAATGCCTGTATGTCTTGAGATCACTGGCACCCTTTCCTATAGAACTTCTGTAACTATGTATCGTATTCGCTTTGGGTTTTGAAGTTGTTGTCATTTACAGCTTCATTCTTCTGAACCCCTGTAGTTAGGGTGTCTTGCCTTTCGTCTCTGCTTTTGAAATGTCTTTGTGTGGGCTGCTATCTGGGTGCTATGACTGTGGCTTCATCTCAGGTTGTTGGACAATGCCATTGATTCTCTCTCCAAAGGACATCTGCACTATTTCTTGTGAGGCTGGTTTGGTATTTGCTGCTGCTTTTCTGGGAAGGTCTTGATTGTGCCATTATTTTCGAAAATTGCTTTGCTGGTTGTATGAGTCTTTTTGTTTTTTAAACATTTTATTAGGGGCTCATACAACTGTGATCCCAATCCATACACACATCAATTGTGTAAAGCACATTTGTACATCATTCTCAAAACATTTTCTCTCCACTTAAACCCCCAACATTAGGTCCTCATTTTTCCCCTCCCTCCCCGCTGTCCCTTCCCTCATGAGCCCTTGATAGTTTATAAATTGGTATTTTGTCATATCTTGCCCTGTCCGACGTCTCCCTTCACCCACTTTTCAGTTGTCTGTCCCCCAGGGAGGAGGTCACATATAGTTCCTTGTAATCGGTTCCCTCTTTCCTACCCATTCTCCCTTTACCCTTCCTGTTTCACCTCTCACACCACTGGTCCTGTAGGGCTCCTCCGCCCTGGAGTCCCTGTAGGTTGTATGATTCTTGATTGGCAACTATTTTCCTTTGGGGTTTCATGCATGCTGCATTATTGCTTTCTTACCTGTGTGGTTTCCACTCAGAAATCACAGCTTACGCTTACTGATGCCTATTTGCACATGGGGTTTTGGGGGGAGAATCTCTCCCCTGCCCCAGCTGTCCTCCAAATTCTCTCTTTGCCTTTACTTTTGGAAAGTTTAATCATGATGGGCTTTGGTGAATTTCTTTTGGAGTGTGTATTGCATGGCTTCTTTGAGCTTCTTGGATGGACACCTTTTCTTTCAAGATTTTAAGGAAGCTTTTTTGCTGGCAAATCTCCTGTGTGTGTGTGTGTGTGTGTGTGTGTGTGTGTGTGTGTGTGTTTCTTCCTGCTCTGGGATCCCAGTCACACACGTTTCTCCTCTTGATACCTCACATCCCTCTTAGACTTTCTTAATTTTTCTTTATTCTTTTTCTGATTGTTCCTCAAACAAGTGAGTTACCAAAGGATTTGTCCTCTAGCTCACTGACTCTTTTTTTCTTTTTCATTGACTAAATTTTACTTCTGTATCTTTCCATGGAATTAACTACTTCTAATAATCATTGTTAATCTCCTGGATTTCTAGTTGTTTTTGTAAGGTTTTTGATTATTTACTTTGTTGTTTTGTTCTTGTATTGTTTTTCCTGGTTTCAATTAGGACTTTGTATTTTCTTTGGTCTATGTGAAGATCCTATGTGCAAGTTTTAAAATTCTGCCTCAAGTAGTTCCAGTAGAATTTCTCCTTTGAAGGGGCTTTCTTCTTCATTTTATTCCTTTCCTGGAGTCATCTTGTCCTAATTTCTTAAACGATCTGATCTTTTCTGTTGCCTCTGAAGCATTATAGTTATCTTATTCACTGTACGCTTATTCACTTCATCCTGATTTTTCTGTTTCATTTTGCTCTGATATATGAGGACAGGGAGGGTGGACATGCTTCCCCGATCACTTCTCTGGTGGACAGGAGTGCTCATAGGTGAGCAGGGAAACAACAGGACAGGTGAGCCCTCGTTGCTTTTCTCTGAAAATACACATCAGCCGAGGGAGAGCTGAGCGGGTGCTGGCTGTCCCCTGGTCCGGTGGCATAGGCACACTCTCCAAAGTTTCCTGCTTGGGGAAGGCGGCAGGAAAGGAGTGCTCAGGAAAACTACCTTCCTACTTGACAGGAGGGCTGCAGGGTGGGATCTTGGCGTGGGAATGCTCCCTCCACCACTTGGCCGGTTGGGGCATGGTCCGTTGGGGTTGGGGTGGGCTCCTGGAAGCACACAAATGCCCTCCCAACAACACCAAGGGATTAAGAAGGCTCATGTGAGGGTTGGGTCGGGCGGTCAAGTTTATGAGAACAGTCCCGTTGTGGCTTGATGAGTCATCAGACTTGTGGGGTTCAGGCTGGATGACAAGCAAGGCAGAAATGCTCTCCTGCCATGTGGTGAATTAGGGAGGCCTGGATGGAGGTTGGGGCAGGCAACTGGGGACCCTGGTGCCCCATGCTGTTTGGTGGGCCCTGCTGACACGCGAAGGTTCTATTCCTTCACATTCAACACCGGTGCCACCCAGCCTGCCTCTGGCTCCTGACTCCCACCCTGTTCTGTGGAAGCCAGGCTCCCTGGAGCTCCTATCCTCCGGTTTTCACGTTCCCTTCTTAAGCCCC